TATATATATATATATATATATATATATATATATATATATATATATATATATATAAGTACCTAAGATTTCCTCGGTAGATTCTGTGTCCGTTTTCTAGTTTTTGTTTGTAAGCCTGTGTTGAGAAGCTGGAGCTTGGTAAGCATGCTCAAATTTTTGGCTATATCAAAGCCGGGTGACGGGCTCTTTCAACCGGAAAATTCTCAGCAGGTCCTAAATAAAGGGATTTTCGAACTGAACGACGTTCAGTCAAAAGCTGAACAGCCGTCTCAAAGTTTCGATCCTATGCTGTAGTGTACTACATTTTCCTTCAATTAATCTCAGCCGAAGGAGTGATTCGCGCAGGGTAATGAACCCGACATTTGCCCACAAATATTGGGTAAGTGGATCATTGCAGGATTCATTCAGTAAGCAGACGAATAGACTATCTTGCTCGTTGAACAGCTTTTGCTGCGCATTTTTGATGCAAGAATGCACTGAAAACATAGTTTGAATTACTATCCGTATAATTTAAGGCATAGTGCAGTGTAGCGCATTCGGATATTAAGTGGCCAATCTCATTTTCCTTTTATTCAAATACACTTCTCAGAACTGGTTTCTCACCAGCTGCACTTCTACAACCGAGAGATTTTTGCTTTATTTACACAATGTTGAATTCGTCATGAATTTATTCTAATGATTTCCACTTAATAATTTAATTAAGCTCATTCCGACTCAACTTAGTTTACGACTTTGCTGCCTACTCCGGCCTACAACAAGGAACCGCCAGGAAGGACTGAATGACAAAATAAGCTGCAATCGACCAAAAGCTCATAATTTCCCCATGTATTTTTTTCGTTTGTAATATTTAGATACCTAGTTCGACTAATAGAAGTACAGATGCTCCATTTCTTTTCAAACTTGTACATATCAATCTACACACCCCTCACTGCCGTGCAAAGAGCATTCGGCTCTCATAGGCGGCTAAAGGGAAAGTGCTCACAATAAGAAGAAAATTGGAGTAGTTATAATAAGAACGAGTTCAGCAACCATGTTCCTTGTAAAAAAAAAACTTCAACCAACTTCTACATTTGATATGTTTTCCATCAGTTCATGAAAATCTCGTAACGACTTCCACACCCCATTCTTAGATCCAATTCCGTCTCGAATCAAATTTCAATACACCGTTTGCAAGATATGAGGGGTGATCAAACCCTTGTGGATGACTAAGCTGACACTTATTTAGTGAGGTGTACCGAAAGCTTAGATTGCAGTATTGAGAAATAGTGTATGTATGAGGAAAATCTAGGCATTGCATGATTATGCGTCACTTGTGAGCTGGTAAATAAAAAACTACGGAAAACAAAGAAAAAGACATTACATAAGTGTATCCCACTTGATGAATACGCTTTGGAGTAGTTCTGGAGTAAAGGTGAATTTTCAATAATGACATGAAACCGACTGATTTTCATGTGCAAAATCCACGTCATGAATTCACGCCCAAGTTCTCTCGTGATGAGTCCGACAATTTACCACGATTCGAAGTATAAACGAAAACGCTCACCGTAGATACGTTAGCCAGGCAACGTAAAGATCAAATGCTCGCGTGTATTCAATAATATATTCCATGGCATAAATAAAGAAAGCAGTAATCAGAAGACACGAATCGAATACGGCCAGTGCTGTGAGGAACAGATTATTTGGATTTCGCATTGCTGGCCTGAAAATTAGAGAGCATGGGGACGAGAAAACTCATCGAAACTTGGGAAGTCCACTGCTTTCCTTTCCTTTCCTTTCCTTTACAAATTTTTTAAGTACGTGTTAGCATATCATACCCATTTTAAATTGTACGTCTTTCCATTCCACTCTGCATTCAAAGCAATGACTTCGGTTTGATGGATATTTTTCGCAGACAACGCTGGTGCTATTTGATCCAGTTCAGATAGCGAAACCTATAACCCAGTGAGATATGATCCCCTGAAGGGAGTACTGCCTCCTGACTACTGCACTCACTCGTTTTAAATCCCCTAAGCCACTTTATAAATCAAATGCACACCAGGATGCCATCCTCGATGGATCCGCTTTTTTCGTCCTTTCTCAACACTTTGCACCATAAATATTTGAAAAGCTTTCGCTTAGTCTTCCGAGAACGACATTCCTTTTTGAATTGAGTGGATTTGATTATCAGTAGGTTTAACGCCTTGTGATGAAACAATCTGATAAATATAATAATTAGGTGTCTTAGGTGCTATGTGCATGTTCGCAGGTTCGAATCTCAGATCGATATCCGCCTAGGCCAATCAAGCCTTCCATCTCTCCCGGGTCGCTCAACGGGTACCAAAAACGTCTGTAAGATACAAGCACTCACTTGTGTATCGGCTGGCCACCGCAACTCTTGTATAGGCCACATACGCATTCAGTACGCAACTGCGACTCTGGATGAGAGTCGAGTGCAGGGATGCATCCCTCGGTCGGGATTGACTAACGTCAAGAGGATTCAACACAATCTTTGACNATGGTAAGGAAGAGTCCCACAAATAGGTTAGGTCGTCAGAGCCCATGCCGCCTTGGAATCTTTGGTATATAATGAAAGCACGTCAAATTCAAAACACATTTGAGGGAACAAGAGCAGGGTGGATTTTTATGAACGAAAAGACGCAGTTTAAGAATACTCCTTTGGGATTTTTCTGAGTTGGTCAATTTTGCTGGTTATGGCTGTAGAAGTAACAAAGACGTCAGCTTCCGATCTTCACAGAAGGATGATCAGGAAATCGCAAGAGAGTCGGTCTTTATTCGAGAGTTTTAATTAGGTCGCGATTCAGCGGTAAAGCTTGTTTTTGTTCCTCAGCACAGGGAAGGGCGGAACAGAGAAGCTTTGCTGAGAAGACAACTCATCATTAACAAACCTCGTAAGAATGAGTGCCGTTGATGCATTTCCGAACAACCCAAACAATCCTATGAGACTGCCGGCGACGCTGATAAGAAAGAATTTCACCTGAAACAACAGGGGACGATATATATAATTTTTCGATAGAAAAACCTTTATTGAGGTGCGCCACACGCTTGAACTTGTTCAGACCTTTGGTGGCAGATTGGATCTTACTTGTACAATGATGAGGGGCAGTCCATTGATATTCAATACAAATTTTCATTTCGGGCGAATCCTCTACTATCAATTCAAATACCTGTGATAGAAGGCCTGCATGACCTGAGGAATCAGGTTTGTCTGAGCTCCTATTATCCGTACTACTCATAAGAAGACTGCTTAACAAACTTTCATTCATGAGCTCTAAAATAACCGTTTGCAGATCTGCGGGCCTACCAATTCGTGACGACTCTGTCGCAGTCTTCTTGGTGACAAGTTTTTCTGTTGAGTAACAAACGTTGAAGCGGCAGTGCAAAAACTGAAACTCTCTCCAAAAAAAGTCTCAGGGCCAAAAAAGACCCAAATTAAGAAAAATCAAGAAACTCGCTAGTCTTGAAGCATAGATATACTTTCGAAGGTTACTTTCTCCGAAGATTCGAACGTTTCCTTATAGTCACAGCAGAAGTACTGAAAAATTACTTTGAAAACAACTGTTAGCCGAGAACCGACCTCAAGATAATCGTGCGGTTCAAGCCCGCAATCCGCGGAACTGTTCGACGCATCAGCCATCACCGCGCCATTATATCTAAAAGAGAGTTTTCGATGAGTAGACGTACGAGGACCTTCTTATTCATACATATCTTCCAAAAGTACCTTAAAACGATTTCAGATGCAATGAGAAGAGATAAGATGATAAACATAGTGAGCTTCAAGGCTGAAGCTATATTTTCTGTGCACCTCTCATGAAAGGTGGGGAAGATCGTGGGCATTTGACACGACTACAAGGACACTCCTACTTCAAGCGCAAGAAAAAACATTGAAGAAAAAAAGCTGTAGGGAAGGTCTCAAACAGAACTCAAATGATGAGTTGTTTTTATTAATGAGAGACCTATAAATATGTCCTGAACTTCTAAACATTCCTCGACTTATTTGGACAAATTTTGGCCACACAACAAATCTCTTGTCCCTATAACTATAATAATTTTAAAATGCTGGCACTGTACCACGCAAAGTTCCATTTTCAACGGCACCATTCGAAGAGAGCAACCTTTGGTTAGACCACGAGAAGGCTCTTGTCGATTTTTTTTCTAGCTCTGATATATTTGGTGCTAAAAGCGATTACAATATGAGGTGTCTTGTTCCTCTCCAGAAAAATTCATGCTCGATTAGCATTGGAACAGTGGTTTTATGGGAGCTCAAAAACCAAAACATCTGATCCGATGGCTCTAAGATGTAAAATTCTTGAAAAAAATCGTAATGATGGTTTTGAAAATGGCTGAAGAGCAAAATGCCCAAAGATTAGATGTGTGCAAGCTTCAGAGAGGATTCCCACTTGGGTGCCCCAAAACAACGCAAGAATCTACGAAAAAGTTCTGAAATATTCAATAGGCATATTAAAAGCATCGCAGTCTTTAGTACTTTTGGAAAGAAGACTTTCGTAAAGAAGAAGTCACGACAATAAGCGTTGTCGTTGCATTTCTACATGAAATTATATCACAGCGATACCAACAAAAAGACTGACTGCGAAGAGAGTAAAATTATCAGAAGCGAATACTGCGTACAACAGGTTGGAAAAGAGATAGGAAAATTGTGATAGACGAAAATGGGTCCAACTCAAGTCAGCTGCGCTAGTGGCTGACAACATTTTCTCTACACAACATACCTCAATAAATTCTGCAAAGGAGTGCAAGCAAAGTTTTTAGAGAGTTCCCACGGAGGAAACAATCTCCATTAGTGTGATATACTGAATTCCCCGTAAGTAAACCCCTTAATCTCGCCTGACACGCATTTCCTTTCAACACAAAATCTCAATCTCCCTAAGTATACAAGTCGAACTTTCAAGACATGTTTGGTATGTAACAAAAACTCAAGCCGGTGATGGAGGCCAGTTTCCAGTTTTCAGTCGTTGGTAAATATAAGGTGAGCTGGGTAGGTTGAAGGAAGTTTGAAGTTGAAGGAAGTTGATGGAAGGAGTTGAAGGAACTAGGAATTTTGGGGTCAAAATTGTAAGTTGGGTCTTCGAAGCAATTGTAGAGGGGACAAAGCTTGTTCAGGAGCAGTGCTGGCAAATGAGCGCACTTAATATCAAGCCAGCCAACAGACTCGACAAGCGTGAATCAATGTTGTTATTAGGCACTCATTCAAACAAATATCGAAAAGTGGATGGGGACATTTACCGAAGACAAAACAAAATTCCACTAATGGCGAGTAAAACCGAGTGCTACCTATTAGAAGACTTGAGCATAGACTCGAAGCTTCTCGAAAACCTCAAACTAGCTTATTATTACCGAGAAAAGACTGAGCCTAGTGAGTATCAATTCCTCACTGAATTGCACGGTGCTGCATACGTAAATAGACGTAGACAAGGGATGAACATTCGTCTAATTGAGAGTCAGTCGGAAGTGACCATTGCCACTCATTTCCATTATCGAAAAGAAGACTTGATCCTTACAGCCTATTAGCATCCGAATATTCAAACAGAGAATCTCCTGTGCCAGGACTAACAGTGATTTTAAAAAAGTAAAACACTGTGAGAATTCATCATCATCATCATCATCATCATCATCATCATCATCATCATTTTCTTCTTTTTCTTCTTTGACGTCTGTCCCGCTTGTAGACGGGAACTGCTTTACCGTGAGGATACATGAAAAAATCAATAAACATGTGCTTTCAGGCAAAAAAAACCATCAGTACCAGAACCACTCAGAAGACGCTAAGTTTGGATTACGGAAACGAAAAATGAGATAGGAATTGTAAGTAGAAGCGCTTTTTAAAAAATTCGCAAGGATCGATGTAGAAGCATAACCTGAGTTCTTTTCTTGAAACACAAATACACTCACTCACTCAAACGTTCTTCCTGTTTTAAGAAATAACAATTTGGATAGGAAGAAACAAAAGAAAGGAACGAAGCAATAAAAGGAAAAAGAAAAAGCGCAAACCGAGCAAAATATAAAAGGCGTGGTGAGGGGTGAGTTTACTTAACATCATGGGTTCCACCGTGATTGATGTGGTAGATGGTTCAAACGATGAATACCAAATTCAGTAGTAGAGAGGAGCAAACTCAAAACCATAATGCTTATAGTACTTCTAGGAGTAAATGCAATGAATTCAATTTTTGAAAACCTAGATTACGGTATTATCAGCATTAACCTCTTGTTATTATCGGTATGAAAAATATAAAAATGTAGTCAACCCTCAGTGCTATTTTCACCAAGCAGTGCAAAAGTGATGGAAGCAAACTGCTCCTGCCTTGCTTATTGGTTTACTGATGGTCTGGCCTCGCCTCCCTACCTCCTTGGCGCGCCTCCTACTCCAAGGAAGGGTAGTACGTGTACGTAGTATTTCCACTGATTCCAATATAACAATTAATGGCTAGAAGGCTTATCAATATTTGATACGGAGAGAACTGACGACAACGCACTCGATAACTCTCATAAAAGAGAGTATATCGCCTGTCTTGAGCCAATAATAGATAAATTCTGATCTTAGCATGGCACTCTATTTTATTTTGCGCTTTTCTTCTCTAGACCACACTGAAAGTCTGCCAGGACTCTCCTCTGTTAAAGTGCCCATTCCAATGATTCTGTGCATTCTTGATTGATGGAGGGTACAATGCTCTTAAGGAAAAATAGAAGTCAGCGAATGCATCATTCCAGCCCAAATTAGTCCTATTCACTAGATTGTATTTGAAAAGCGCAAGCGCTTTTCGAGTCTTATGTGAGTTGTAAGACACATTCTCCCTTGACACAGAGCTCTTGTAATCATAGCTGTATTGCGAACTCCAATAATGAGCCTGAACTGGAACTAGTAAAAGAAGTAGCATAGTACATGAAGCAAAAGGACGATTCAGATGTTTCCGAAACACGCACTTGATCACTCTTTAGAATCAATGTGCGAGATTTCAGCGACCAGCGAATTTCGCCGACATGCAAGCTGATCGTTTATCTTCCAGTGATTTCTTACGAATATGGTTCTCTTAGAATTATTGATGAAGAGAGTGGGTAGCCTAAGCAGGTTCCGAATTTGATTTCGCGGCAGCAGTACCACTTCCGTATTGAACTACAGGTGTGAGCGTATAGCAGCGAATGACAGAGTCGCTTCGCTAATTGCTACAGAAACTTTTCGGCATATCTACGAGGTACTGGAAACCTTAGTAGACAAACATCAATAGCCATGACTTCAGTGGCGCGTAATAATCTAACGGTTTCTCTTGAATATCGTTACTGTCATAATTGTACCTTCGTGAGCGGTCTATGACTATCTACTAGAAATACCTCCATGGAAAAAAATTGTTCAAGAAAGATCTCACATGTAGATGTCACCAACTTCTCAACCTTGTTCGTCACCACTTAAAAAGTATGAGATCTCGATTAATCAACAGCATATATAATTTAATGATCGATTGCTGCTGAATAAATGAACCACGGAATTAGAAACGTCACCTTCACTTCCACATAACATCTCAAATAGCTCTTACGCAACCACAAAAAAGAACTAATCTCACTTAAGCGTGGCCATAAATCGAATACCAGCGACTCCTCTTTTTCTATGGCGGCACTTGAAAACTCAAGAATACTTCACGACGCGAAAACAACGCCTATGGAAGGCTTCAAAACGAAGGCGAGTCTGAAGCTTCATTCGGCCCCTTAGAAACCGCCATAACCAGAATCTTACACGAAAGTTATAGGTCAGACTATTCATTCCTACTTTTTCATATTTTCAAGCATAATTTTAGAGCCATGGATTCAATCGACATGGGATACATTTGTCGGCAGGGACAGTAAAGGCATTATACTGCTCTCTAGCAACGATGTAACCTAACGGAAACATTACATGGGACACGGCATAACGAAGTTTCACATTTTTCAGAACGGGAATGATCTCCGACGACTGGTGCTATTCTTCTCCAATAACTCAAAACGATTTCTTAACATCTTTCCAAAGAGAATTAGCTAGCCTTTCTCGTGAAAGAGAAGTCTCCCATTTGGGCATCAATATGACTGGTAGCACATGGAGCTTGTCATAGCAAACCAACTCACCCTCTTCGAGTCTCCTGATTTGTGAATGAGACAAATGCAAAAAAACAGAGGAACGTGTAAACAAAAGATGATAACCGCAGCTTATAAGACTGTGATTATGCAAATTTCATAAAAACCAAGGGTCAAAGGACGAGTTACGCGGCCCAGTCACGGCGAAAAACGGTCAGAACATGGCTCAATAAGGACTGAGAAGTCAGCAGGCCCACCCTTCAATGGAGTGTTGCTTTAATTGCATTTCTTTCGTATGTTATCTGCAGATCTCATCCGATAGTGGGTTGTAAGTGAAGGAAGCATTGCAAGAGGACCTATGGCTGAGAACCACCTTGTCCACTTCTTTCTATTACTGCTAAACTCCCAAGCATCACAACTGGAAGCTTCGCTGGAAGCTGGGTTATCTGAACAGTAAGTGAATTATGAAAGAAGGAAACATGAATCGAGATGTACTTCGCTTCTGGAGCACTTCTGAATGGTGCAAACGATGACGGGAAAGGACGACGATGTTAGTTTATGAGTAGGCCCTGATTGCAG